AGAGGGGTGATTGCCACTCGGGTCAGGGCTGCCGTCTTACAAGTCGTCCGATCCACTACCATGGCTCGTGATGTTCGATGGAACGTCCTAGTTTGTCGCTAGTACTGAACAAGTGGCCAATTTCAACGTCTGATCTTCATTGCAGCATTACCATTATTGCGTGACACAATACTCAATACTCAATTGATAATTCCAATCCCGAAAGTAACACGTTGCCAGAAAGTGGTATCAAAAAAGAGATCAAAGAGATCAAAAAGAGAAGCCGGAAAATGGACAATGAGACAGGGCTGTAGCTTCCTGAAGGATACTGCTCAGTGTCCGGCTCACGTCCCTGGATAAGGCTCAACTTTGGGGGTCGGTTTCGGCTGGGACCTTGGCCACATTGATAGGATTGATTTTGACCTTGTGGGCTTCGGCGCAGAAGGAGGAGTGCTCTCGTCTTGTCCTCTGTCAGCGGTTGCAGTGGCTGATTGTCCTGCTTGCTGTGCTTCTTTGACCCCTTCGCGTATTTCAGCGACTGATGCTCCTGGAGTCGCTGTCGTGACGAGTGTCTCTGTAGGACGTATTCTTCCGTCGGTCGAATCCTCGTTCAATCTGGAGATTTCCTCCTCTGTCACCAGACGCTCGTTCTCTAGGCGTACCTCACGGCCACGTTTATGACAGTACCAGAGTACGAATAGGAGGACTGTGTGAAACAATCGCCGTTAGTATGCCAGGGGTAATTTCTAGTAGAAGATACTTACTAAACAAAGCCAAAGACCAGAGCACATTCATTCCCAGGACTGCTGGGAATCGCGCTCTCAAAAATGCCATAATGGACCGCAGCATGCCCACAATGGCGGCAGGCTTACCAACCAGCTCCTTCAAACTTGGCACCTTGATGCCCATATTATTAGCAGCTGCAGCCGCCTTGCCTACATTCTCAACATTGAGGCCGCTTCGGCTGGCCCTCTCGCTAGCCGCCGCGAGCACTTCCGGTGCCAATGTCTCGGTCCACCTCTCCGGAAGTTTCTCAATCAGTTTCTGAAGAAAGCCCGGAAGCTGCGAGTACGTCTGCTGTAGCTGCTTATTGCCATTGCTAAGGAGCATCTCCAAGTCGTGGTAAGCGGTGGGTACGCCATTTATGAGATCCTTGAAGATGAGTGTGAACTTGCGCAGGAGCTCTTGGGTCTCGTCGCTGATCGAGAAGACGCGATTATTATCTGCTGCTAAATTGAGGCGCTCCAGGATCTCCGTCATGTCATCAGTCTCTTGTTTCGCTTCGCTGTTGGCAGGGTCGGAGGATTGAAGGGATTGCGAGGCATTGGGCTCTGCCGGTGCTGTCGATTCTTTGTCCTAAAACGGAGTCAAGGTGAGAACACGCATCTCATAAGACCTCCAAACGATGATGTTCACAGAAATGGCACCCTACCTTCTTCTTCCAGCTTGTGCCCCTCCTCCGCAACCAATACCATGGTCCCTTTTTCTTGTCTGAAGGTGAAGTGCTCTCAACATGGGAAAGCATCGAATCTGCACGGGTGACTCCAGCATTGCTTGCTCTTCGCTCCTCCTCGCCAAGCTCCTTGAACTCTTCGACTGGGGAGATTGGTAGGGGAATATTATATGCCTCTGTGTTTGAGGCATCGACAGGCGGACGGACATTCTCATCACCGTTCAACGACAATGTAGCCTCTGCCTCTGTAGATTGAGCGGTAACGGACTGTAGGAATTGTTCGTCTTCAGTCGTCAGCACTGGATCATGTGGTTTGTCAGCCTGCGAAGGGCGCCTCCAGTTCTGTAGATAACTGAAGCGCTGCATCTCGGTAGGTTAATGTTAGATGTTATTTCGATAGTTCTCTTGAAAATCGAAGGTGTATGAGGGAGAAAAAAAGGGTCCACTGAATGCTCTTAAAAGGGTAAAGATGGCTGGACAAAAGGAGAGCATGGGCAAGACATTGCGTTGTCCTCTGAACGCTTGAAAGCAGGGTATCCCTGGCAAACTGCACAAAGGGGAGAAATATATTGTAGCCCTGTCTTAAACGCCACAGCAAGGAATATTATCCAAGATGTAGAGTCCTCAGAGGATCCTTTTGAATCGTTAGTAGGCGGGAGGCCCAAACATCAAGTTTCCTTGTAACTACAAGCTTATTCAGGAACAGGATCTCACTTGTCAAGTTGCTTTCAAGCGATGATATCATGCCCAAGGCATCCATGATCAATCATGTGAAAGAAGCGTCATCAGCCACTCAGCTCCTGCGGTTTCACAGCCACAGTAGCGAAAATAGTGGATACCAGCCACATATTCCATCGTCTCCCGACATGATTGGCCCTCAGTTAGTCGTGGGGTATAGCTACCTAGGGTATCCAGCCACGGGCTCACGATTTCATCCCAATTTAATCCAGTTTCCATTGAGATATAATACGTCAGATTATGGTCACTACATCTGGAAGTGCTCTCTAGTGTATGAGTGTTTGATGTCGTTCGTGTAGAAATGCCTTGGGGTCATGTTGGTTGGATCGCATCTTCCATCCTGTCATGACCATAGGGCGATATGGGTCCTTCTGTCAGGACTAGGTATTACAGTACTGTAGATCTTTATGCGGGATTCTGGCCTACGAGAAGCACGGAATGTCAGATCTACAGACTGCGAGCCCTCACGCTATTTGAAAGCCAGGATAAAGATAGTATCCGGGGCAAAGGCAACGATTCCAGAGTACTGTGTGCCTTCAGTAAGAGCACGCTCGAGATGCTTTGAGTCATTCAAGGATACTATCTGAGTCATGTTTAAATATATCGAAGCTGGATAGATGGATGACTCCGGGCTCGTCTGCCTGGTCTTAGTCCTAATTCTGATAGGCATCCTTGTCAGCTGCTAATCCCATCACATGATTTCGTCGCTGGTCACTCGGCGCTTCCACTTAAACTTCATTTCTCGTTCTCCTCTCTTTCTCTTCCCTCACGCTCCCTAGAGTCGGCTATCGTGCTACGTGGATCTAACTTGGATTCTCGTATGCCAAGCTTGTCTCAAGACGGTGTTCTTCTAGTATGCTCTTCTCAATGAAGACCCACAGCTACGAGAAGATACACTTCTTGGAACAGCTTCCAGGACTCCCCACATGCAACCTGCATGATTCGGCAGCGTCGCTTCTTTTTATCGACAAGTTCGTCCAGTCTTTTCCATTGTGCTGGTTCCTTCTGTCGCTCGTTTGCGTTCTCACCTGGTTGTCTCTGGTCTCTTTCCTGCTGAAGTTGTTGGATGATAATGATAACACCATGACTTCCAAACGTTCATTCGTTTCGCGGGATCGAGTGGAAAAGTCCTTCAAGTCATTCAAAAGGATGTACCAGGGTCATTCGAAGGTGAAGAAGCAGGGGAAAGAGAGCCCAAAGAGCCAATCCACCAAAGCGTAAGTGGGCCTTTCGCGCTTTCGCCTTGCCAACTTTCAGCTATATAAGCCTTGTGATTGAGTCAACCTCTCTCCGGAAATATAATTGCATCCTCGAAACTGATACTGACTCTCGAAAGGCAGTCCTCTCGCAAGTCCTATAGTTACATTGATTGTGGGCAGGGATCAGCGATGCTTCGTAGCTCATGAGGATGTCCTATCCCGTTCCCCTTTCTTCCATCCTGTGCTAAAAGACCAGTTTGTAGGTGATAATGTGGACAAAGTTCTAGGCTTGCCCGACGAGTGAGTGTCAAGATTCCCTTTTGCCTTCTTTTCAGCTTACTAACGTACTGCCAGAGAGCCAGAAATCCTGTCTTGTGTCCTCGAGTTCCTGTACAAGGGCGACTATACTCCGCGCCTCGTGCATGACAAGAGCCAAAGCTCATTCACACTCGAAGGCTACCAGGACACCTCTAGTATCAACAGTTGCGAATCAAGCGCAGCGACAATCTTTCTTTCTGCCATCAACGGTGTAGTCCTCCGGGACACTGCTGTGTACTGTGCGGCTGAGAGATACGGCTTGGAGTCACTCAAAAGCCTTGCTCTTCGCAAGCAAGGACTTCAGAGGGGTATACCTATCGACTTGATCCTACGATCCGCCCGGTATGCCTATGACAACACGCCGGACTCTGAGTCTCGACTGCGCGCTCATTACTTGGCGATGATCATTCGCGCCCGTCATATCTTTAAGAGCAGCGGAACCATGCAATTTGATATGGAGATGGGCCATAAATTCTACTTTGATTTGTTTGTTGCGATGTGTAACCACATGGATGATCTGGAGGGACTCGAGTAAGTTCTCCTGCTCTGTGCACTTCTCACTTGTCAACTGACAATCTTTTCGGTGTAGCCCGCAGTGATACGAGCGCTCAAAATTGTCCAAGGACACATCGCCACGAAGGATCAAATGAAACTTTGTCCCAATGCATCGAACAGCAAGTAATCCATTCAGATTGTCAGCCTTGCAACCAGACTGAACATATCGTTTCGCTCATATCTGATACTCACTCTTTGCTTCTACCGAGGTGGGCCGCTTTGTGGTTTGAGTGACCATTTGCTTTACCACTTTTTAATCTGACTGGCGTACTGCGTGGCTTGCTTTCTGTATTCAGATGTCACTCCTTGAAGGCTTCTCCTTAAGCACTCCGCTCTTGCGTGCGCCTTTGTTGTTCAGTTTGATGGGAGAATGTGAACCTGCTAGGTGTATATGCGTCTAATCTCGTGACGCATTTAGCAGCTTGTTGATATGATGAGAGAATGATCTTTATTTAGGAATTGAGAGATTCGGCCACCTCAATTTGCGCCTGTTCCCCTGAAATGTTGTAAGGTAAAATCCTTGAAGGTCTGGATATTTCGTACTGAATGAAGTAGGAGTGTAAAGTAACATGCGGTTAATATTAATACATAGATGGCTAGGCAGCTAGCCCTGCATTATCATCCTTCTGTAAAGAAATGCTACATAAGAAACACCAGGTAGACCTACTACAGTACTCCCTAATAATGCTGCGATATCCCACAAGTCGCCGTGCAACAATCCGCTAAGCGTAAAATGCTCAAACAGCATGAGCTCCGCTCTAAGTTGACTTCTTTCTGCGACCACGCTTGGGTTTCTCCTCAACGGGCTCAGCCTCCTCACCATCCTCACCCATTGACTTCCTCTGACGCTTCGCAGCCGGCTTCGCAGACGCCTTGGGCGCTTTCTCCTCAGCAGCAGCTTTGGAAACCCGGCCTCTTCTGGTCACGGTCGGCTTGGGCTGGATCTCCTCTTCGTCAGATTCCTGTTGCTGGTCGCCGTCGTCTTCGTCAGTGTCGATCTCTTGTTTGGCGCGGCTGCCCTTCTTGGCTCTTTTGGCCTTGGGCGCGGTAGCCTTCTCCCCAGGCTTGTCCTTATCAGTCTCAGCACGGCCGCGCTTCTTTGATTTGGGAGTCTTCTCCTCTTTCTCGGATGCGGTTTCCGCCTGTGATAGTCTTAGTGATACGCGTAAAATGGGTTTTCGCGGAGTCAATACCTCTTCCTCGTCAGCCTTCTTCTTCTTCGGGGCACGCTTGCGGAAGCCCGTCATGCCAGGCCGATTCATCTCGGGATCCTAAAGCCTCTGTAAGCATTACTTGATATTAATAGGATGCGTGCAAAAACCTACCCCCTTCCAATCCTCATCGTCAACATGCCCCTGCTCCAAAGCCTTACGGACCTTCTCCTGATACCCAGAAGGAAGTTCCTCAAAGCCGTCAATGGCGTCCAGATCCTTCGAGTCACCACTCGCTTCCTCAACTGCTTCATTGAGGTTGGCGATAATCTTAGGTGTGACGCATCCCCTGGTCGGGTATCAGTGATATTCAGTGTCTAAGAAGCAGGGATTAACTTACCAGTGTCTCCAGAAGAAGCTCTGGAATTTTTCGGTGTCGACCCAGGTACCGAGACGGAGCTCGCCCTTGCCGATTTTGATCTTCTCCTCTTTGCATTCTTTGTTCTGGCAGCCTGCTCGGCCGGTTGAGGCAGCCTCTGGGTGATGTTAGTGGATTTGTTTGATTTCCGAAGGTGAAAAAATCTCGGAACTGGGATTGAATGATCGAGTGGTAAGATCGGCCCAAGGGTGCTAGATAAAAATAATGGATGGATGCAAGATTGATGAAGAGAAGCACGATGATGCTCCACACTTGCAGCTCTGTTGTGTACGGTTGACGTATGACCGCCACGAGCAACCCAAGTCGGGCACGAATACAGGCAATTGTTGACAACATTTGAAAAGGAAAAATAGTGGTCGAGAACTCTCAATTGGTGAAGGAATAAATCACGAAGCAATTTATAGATGGACGAGAAGCTTACCCAAGCGATAAGTTCCCATATTTTATGGGCAGCAGACGACGACGCGGTCCGCGAGCGATGAGTTGGTAAACGACAGAAATCAGAGGACTACTTCTTCGATGGAAAACAAACAGAGTTAACGCAATTTCTCCCGAGAATTGGAGATACTGCCAGCAGCACCGATGGAACGGGAGCGAGAAGAAGCGTGGAGCAGAAGGGGATGGACACAGATGACGGAGAAGAGGGAGAGAAGAAGACGAACGGAATACGCCAAAGACCAACACCGCAGTGTATACTCCCACAACACAACACCCTATCATCCAATTAATGGGGCTCTTTAATTGATTATAGCATAGAACAGTAGTTGGATCCTCTGAGGCGTCGATAAATTTCGCATATGCATTTTGGAAGGTATGTAGTCAATAGGTGGTTGTCTATGTTACCTTACTCTTTAATGGGTAAACGATCTACTGATCGGCGAGACAGCTGTTCCCTTTGTCCTATGTTTCTTTCATTTAATTTCATTCTACTCGGATAGCCCTTGCAATACTTCAGTCTATGTACTCCGAACAATAAGACATGAAATTGTCCTCCTTGTCGACATATCTCCATCAGCTGAGACCAAACAATGCGTTAGTCGAAATCAAGAGCATGGCAGTCTGGCTACGGACTATTTAGTGCCCAGGGCTTGCTTGATATTGTAGGACGTTGGATGCCAATGCGGCCTCGAGAATGAAGCGGAGCGTGTTTCTTAAGAAGAATTGTTGGCAGTGATTGTCGATTCAATTTTCTCCAGATCAGTGACGTGCTTCCTCAGCATTACTACGGCCCCAAGACTAAGACGGGAAACAAACGGAGCTGCGGCGTTCTCCTCATCAAACTTGTCGGTAGTAGAGGTGTTATTGTGATGCTCAATCATGCCGACGGCCGAGTCAATAGCCCGGCGTAGTAAATGCGGGCGACTAGATGCATCGTCTTTCTGCCCAGATTTCAAATAATTCCAAGTCAAAACGTCTTCTAAGCCAGCGACTGGATGCTGAAGCGCATGCTTGATAAAGTTTCGTGTCGTCAAGAATGCCTTTTCTGTGTATTGTGAGGACTCGACGCGACGCTTGTCGTCCACAGCAAGGACGTCATAGCCAGCCTCGTCTGTGAGATATTTGAGTGACTTTGTACTTCTAGAAACCCGAGGACATACTTACTGTAGAATGGGTTCTTGACCAGCACAAGGCCCATGATGGAGACCAGGATCTGCAAGGCAGTGGACTTAATGGGCGACCAGCTTTCCTCCGGGTTCTTTGTTGGCCAAGTACCTAATATGCTAAGACAGATACGACCGTCCTCGTACAAGTTGGGATTGACCCTACCCTGCCCATTGGTCCAGGAGTGGAAGAAGGAAGCGGGAGGCTTGTTGGGGTAATCCTCAGGAAATTGAAAATCAATCACAAATGGAGCATACTCGTATGGCGTTCCCTGAGGACCAATGATCAAGACTCGTAGGAGATCTATTCTAGATTCCCAGCTCCGAACATAGATACCAGGAGGCAGCGATGTCTCGAGAATCTCATATTCCTTCCGTATACGACTCATCCGTAGCCCAGATTTTCCACGCGAGGATGCTGATATGAAATGGTGGTCACAGGGAGGATCACTCTCCAGAACCGAGAAGCCTGGAGGGCATGTGGATGGTGAAGGAAATGATTGTGAGGTAGATGCATTGGACTGATCATCTGCTTTGGATGCCTCCAACTTTTGTTCCTGGTCCTCAACCATTTCAGCAGTGATATTGATCTCAGCTACTTTCGGTGCCGCAGATTCATCCACGCCAATCACATGGCGCGAGCCGTCATCAGAGCCACCCTCATCATCGGAATCGTCATCCGCGTCGAAGTCATCTTCTGTCAACCATTCTTCATCGTTGCTGTCGTCATCAAGTCGCTCGCCACCTTCATATTCATATGTTCGATCGAATGTGAAGGGATTCGACATCCAGGGGGAGAAGCCCGGTAAGCCGAACATGTCAAGCGGTGGAAGGGGCAGAGAGGGCACATCATAATCGTCATCAATCACCATGAGTATTCTCTCCAAAGGAACGCAAATATCACGACAGCTGTTGCGACCGACTTGTCGAACGGTAATGTTGCCCTCGATGTCCACTGAGACGATCCTACCAAGGAAGTCGCACGGGGACTGTCCGTTGTACTCATCGTGATGAACAACGTAGCGGGAAGGTAGAGGGGAAGAATCGATCGTGATTCCATTTTTGAACGCTTCCGACTTGAAGAGAGCCAGCTTCATGGACTCAAGATACATGGACATCTCGAAGAAGTTCATCGGAAAGAGAAAGCTGTACAAGGAAGGCCCAGTGACCGCGGGCGGATCGCGAGGTGTTGGTGGAAAGACCGATCGATGGACCTTTTCTGGAACCAGGAGCACTAGATCATCCAATGCTTTTCCTAAACCCGGAAACAAGCTTAACTCATAGATGGAAACTTGAGTAACGGTATCACCCAGTTCACCCAACCTGGAACCCGGTTTCAGCATGTTCCCTTTATGGAGCAGCTCGATGTCCGGATCTTTGTACCAGCGAACGGATGCTACTCTTTCTCTGCTGTCCACAGCCTGTACTACGCCAACTTTCCGAGCACGACGGGGCTCACTGCGGCAACAAGACGTGCGGATAGTCTCGAGGCTTTCGCTCAAGACAACAAGATTTCCAGGCCAGACCTCATCATCACCACCACCATTGCACTTGTGCAAAGAGGTAGCGACCTCGGTCGTGACGCTCAAATCCTGCCACTGGACCATCACCTCAGTTCGGGTGGATAACACGCGAAAGAGATTTATGTCATAACCAAAGGACTGGTCTGTTGGTATCTGCTTGTAATTGTACTTCGTTGCATCAGCTGGGTTGCGAAAGCGAACCCTATCTCCGGGGTCCACCTCAACCCACGTGTCCGATCTGACTGTCTTTTCGCTGAAACCCTCGGTGGGTAGCTTGCCGAAGTCGCACTTCATGGCGGTCCCTTGCAGCATTGTTGCTCGGATAACCTCACTGTAATTCCCGCCATATGGTGGTCCTGCACCATAGACATTGGGGCAGAGCCACTCCACATGAATATTCATGGCAGGAGTCGCTAGGACATGACCTTCTGGTTGTGACTTTGAGCCCATTTCCAAAGACCAGTCTCCTCGACCCAAGTTCTTCGAGGATGTCAGGGTGAATTGTCCAGGAAAGACAAACTCTGACTCCACGGTCCACAGGTACTCGCCGTTCGGCAGAGGATATGACCTCATGGCATCCTGGTTGCTTGGCCATGACACAACGTTGTCGGTACCGACAGTCATAGGAATCTCCAAAGCAAAGGGATCCAGAGGTGACACAGCTTTTTGGTTTTGAAGAAGGACGACTGCATCGCGCTCAACCTCACGCACAACCCCCAACTTTTGTTCATAAATTATGTAGTCACCCTCAGTGAACTCCTCGTAATTCTGAAGCTCTGACAGTGGGACATTATGGAGCAGAGGGGCTGTCGATTCCTCTTCTATGGATGCTGGAGGATTGCCACGTTTGATGGCTTTCTCGGCAAACTGCAGTGGTCCCTCCTCCCCTGTCATGGGGTCTGTCTTTCGATATGCAATGGGCTCAAGCGTACAGGTCACGGAGGCACCAATAACTGTACCGCTAAGGGTGTCATCCAGATCTCGTTTGACAATCTCGCCAGTGCCTAATGCTCGATCAATAAGTTCAAGATCATCCTCGTGCAGAAGAGAGTTTCCTTGCGAGGGTTCCGAAAAGTTGACGTAGACATAGCCTTTTGGTGGCTTCAAGAAATTAGCCTTTGAGCCATGTTGAGCTCGACAAACAACATACGGCGCCAGTCTCTAGAAACTCGAGCAAGTCTTTTTCAGGCACTGACGAGTACGAGACTATCAGAACGTCACCCAGAGGCTGGTGGCTATCAATCTGAGAAGGGGAAGACCCTTTGTCAGCCAACAATATCTGAAGAAATAAGGTAAAATCTGTGTGAAATACATCGTGGTGAGTTCTCTACTCATGGCCTCGTTAGTTTGCTGAACATTCTACAGTTCCACCTTGGTCACTCACATTAACAATACCCAACAGAGAGGGCTTTGATTTGAGACGACATAGGTCGTTAAGGTCGAGCTAGGAGTCCTTTGTGAGTTCAAGAAGTCCTTTAACAGGAAATATGACGCTGATAGTAGTGCTGACCCTCCTATTGCCCGGACTGGGAGCTTCAGTAGACGCTGTCCTAGAAGACATTGTACGAGAGTGAGAGACCATGAAGATAAGGAGGGCCACGATGTGCGGGGGATATCAGCGAATGTCAATGTCTAAGGTAAGAAATAAGAGCTTCATAGGGTGCGAAAACTCGGGGATCCCAAAGAACCAGTCAAGGTCAAAACAGAAAGCAGTAAGAATAGGTGGTGAAGGTGTACAGAGCAAACAGAAGAAACAGTGTTCTTTGAGATGGGGGAAACAATCAACAATAATAATACCTGAGGCTATCACATGCACTAGCTGGCCTCAGGTATCTGCAAGTACATGCATCTACTAGGACCGTCTATTCAGAGATGTCGTGTTCTGGCCATTGATTGCTACATCAAATTGTTTGGACAGGAACATTTCACCTTTGTCATCTCCAGTAGATCCATACTTTACAGCTACCCACCGAGTCTAGAGAGGGGCATCTGAAAATCGGCGCAATCTACCGAGTTGAGAGGTACAGAGGATCTGACGGCTGATAAGCAGACATTAAAGAACCATCATCTCACCGCTCAGAATTTATCCGAAAGTTGATTGACCACTCCATCTGCTTCTCAAACAATCGTCTGGTCTCGATCGCGTTGACATACAGAGATATTCCTTGACCGTGTCTGCGGACAATTGAGTTTGCTCCCAGAACCTGAAGTTCTGAACGTCATCTTTCGCGCAAAAGTTCCAGCACCTGCACCTTACGTCAGAAATCGACCGGACCAGCCTACGCGACGATCTCCCTCCAGCTCATCACCAGCAAAGCCACACCCTTGCTTGAATTTCTCAATCTCACAATCCAACCATGTCAGAGCCAGGCCCCGAGTCTATCCCTACAAGCGCAGATCCGCGCAGCAAGAGACCCGTCAAACGTCGCGCAGTCACCCCGCTCAGCGAACAAGCATCGCAAATCGAACATCTCTTCCGCGACCCAAATAAAGAAATCAAAATCCCTGAACCGTCGAGACAACGAACCGCAGAATCACTCGCTCCCCCGCCAGAGATTGTTGCGAACGTCCAAGGTTCTTCGGCTGGTGCGGGCTCCGGGGAGTTCCACGTCTACAAGGCGAGTCGCAGGAGGGAATACGAGCGTCTGCGCTTGATGCAGAGTGAGGTCGAGAAAGAGAAAGAAGATAAAGCCTGGGAACACAAGAGAGAAGAGGCGAGGCGGAAGGACGAGGAGAAAACTGAGAAGAACCGGAGGAGAAGAGAGAAGAGGAATGCTGCGAAGAAGAAGAGCAACAACAACAATAACAATAACAAGGACCAGGATGCTGCGGTCGCCAATAAAGGGCCTAATAGGATGGCAGTTGAACAAGCCTTAAGGCGGACAGAGAACGGCCAAGGAGACGAGGAGGATCAGGAGATGCTCGTGGATGGGGCTGATCAGTCTACTGAGACACCAGGAGTGATCATTCATGAGGATTGAGCCTACGAGGCTGCTAGCTGGATTGACCAACATTCGTCGAGAAACGATCCCTACCAGGTGTGCACTATGAAGATACCCATGTAATTTTAGTCTAAAGGATATTCGTACAGTTTCGGAGTTAAATCGTGTAGCATTATGTACGCATTTTTATTCGAAGAGTTGGGCCTCCTAATCATCTCCACCGGGCATGTGAGCACCACCTGCCTGCTGTGCAGACTTACCACTGCAGATATCGTCAACGCGGAGCAGAAGACAGGCAGACTACGGAATGTTAGTTCGATACACTTGCAAATGGGAAATTTTCTAGGGCGTACCTCAACTGCCGTCTTGATGCTCTGGAGTTTGACCGCTTCAGGTTCCCAGACGCCATACTCCTTCATATCGACGAGGTTGCCCGAGTCACCATCCAGACCCCAGGTGTGCTGACCCTCGACATGCTTAGCTCTCAAGCGTGTGAGGACACGGATGGGGCTGGCACCGGCGTTCTGTGCTAATGTCCGGGGAATAACCTCCATAGCATCCGCCACAGCCTTGTAGGGCCATTGTTGAACACCTTCGATGGACTTTGCGAGTTGACTCAATTTGACCGACACCGCCATCTCGATCGCACCACCGCCAGGGCACAGCCGTGGGTGGAAGATGACGTTTCTGGCAACGGACATAGCATCCTGCAGGTTCCGTTCGATCTCATTCAAGATATCCTTGGACGGACCACGCAGCAGAATCGTGCAGGCCTTGGGGTCCTGGCATTTCCGAAGGAATGTGAAGTATTCGTCACCAATCTTTTCGATCTCGAAAAGCCCGCATCTCGTTCCCACGTCGGACTCCTGCAGGTCATCGACTCGGTTGACAATTGTGGCACCGGTGGCTCTCGCAATACGGTTGTTATCGGTCTTTCTTACACGGCGAATCGCTGTTACATTCGCCTTCACCAGGAAGTGCTGGGCAAGATCTGAGCAGAATTGTCAGTCAGTCGGGTCATCGGCCGTAGTAGAGCAGCTGCGAAAGGCTTACCTGAAACGCCCTTCTCGGTGAAAACAACATCGGGCTTCAGGGCCAGGATAGCATCACACATGTGCTTCACTTGCTCCTCCTCAATTTGAAGAATACGGTTCCAGTCATCCTCCTTGCTGATCTCGATGTTTGTCTGAGACTCTCCCTTCTTGTATTCGAGTGGGCAGTCGAGCAAGATGATTCGAGGATTCTCTATCCTTCTCCGCATCTTGGGGTGAGTAATGTCCTTGTTGACCATCACACCGTCGATAACCTCGCTGTCTTCAATCTGTCCACCAGGAATCTTCTCAATACGAGCATAACGCTTGATGTCGACTTCCTTCTTTCCACCACCAGCATCGAACGAAACAGTGCGGACCGCCTTCAACGCAAGGTTGCACATCAGTTCCGACCACCGGGAGACGAACTTGGTCCCGATGGACGACTGGATCAACGTGTACATCGCCTTATCATCGTCAATATCCACGGGTAGTGAGACTTCCTCCACGATAGCAAGAGCGTCGGCAAGAGCACGCTTAAAAGCCTGGATGATAACGACGGGGTGGATGTTGCGTTCGAGTTGAGGAAGGGCCTGGGCAAGCATTTCACCAGCTGAGGAATGTCAGTCGCAATTTCAAGTGAATGTCCGACAGTAAAAAATACCTAGGATGATGACGGTTGTCGTTCCGTCTCCGACTTCCTCGTCCTGAGTGCGACTGAGCTCGATCATGCTCTTCGCTGCGGGGTGCGACACCTCGATCTCTCTCAGAATAGCATGTCCATCGTTTGTCAGAACGATACCCCCCATGGGATCCAGGAGCATCTTCAACATGGCCTTGGGTCCAAGACATGACCGGATGATGTCCGCAACGCTACATATGGTCCCTATTAGCATCGGAGTGGGTATATCTGGTCGAATGTCACACGTACGTCTTCGCAGCGGTAATATTCGAAAGCTGTGCTTTGCGGCCGACCTGCCTGTCACCAGCATTGGTGTCTAGAATGCACGTTTAGCGGTCTGAAAGGAGCGTGAGAGTAGACGGGATTTAATAACATACTCATCACCACCACTGGGGCCTGCATCTTAGCGGTGTTTTCGGGTTACTTCGGCGATACACTTCAAGTAATGGAGTTCAATAGAGCGACAAATATCACTGTCCCAAACACGATTTAAAAGCAGCCGAACGATGGGCCTGCTGAGCTTGAAGACGTGGAGTTGTGCCCGCACCACCATCAAATTTCCAGCGCACCGCGAAGTGGGATTGAAGCTCACCGCCCCCTAATCTATTTTGGGCTTAGTTCGTCAGCAGTTTCCCCTGAGCTATCAGGCAAATCATGTAGAAATTAGATAAACAGAGACTGAATCATTTTCGACTTGACAATTCCTAAAGCAACGCCGCTTAAAACACTGAACCTCCAAATCCGTAAGATTCCCAGAAGACATAGTCAGTATGGCTATAACATGATTATCAACGCCCCGCCAAATAACGACCTAAGCACCAAGTTTCGGTTAAGTTCCCTGATATCAACAACACCAGTGTATCATTATTGCCATGTTTCCAATAGTGAGCAGGATGGAAGAAGATAGCTTAGTACAGTCGTGGGTACCGAATGTGTGCGGCAGTCTTATCACGCAATGGAATATCTCTTGAAGAATCTGCTCATCCTCCCAATCTTCTTCTGAAGTCGACTTCGCATTTCCAAGATGACTGGTGATCGTCTCCTGCGAACCTCGGGACTACCCGACCTTTCGTCCAAGGGCTGACCTCCGTACCAAGTTGCATATCTGATGTGAGTTCGAGTCTTATCATCCCGCTCCCCGAAGTACTCCTGGATCGGAGATGAGTCGTGTTCCGTTTCGACACCTACGCCTGCAACTATCTCCTCCTGATGATAGGTGAGGTCTGATCCCGGAGTTCTGGACGCGGATTGTGCCTGGTTGACTATATCGCCGAGTGTATGTTGAGGTTCTGCCGTAGCTTGTCTTTGGTTTTCACCGCAGCCCATCTGTTGAAGACGTACATTTGGTGTCTCTCCAACTTGGTGATGTCCTGGTCTGTGCGTTGACCGCCTCTCAACGAGTTGCGAGACCACGCTATCGAGCCATGCAGAAGCATGTCTGTTGCAATTGTAAGACACTGGGCTGCGGAATTTGAAGTAAGGGTTCTCGCGCTGCAGACGTTCCAGCCGCTCCATGTGAAGCTCTCGCATTACCTGCTGCAGGTGATGTGGTAGGCAGGCCATGGCATGCTCATCAAGATCGTAAACAACTTCTTCCTCGTCGTCGGTGTCGTAGCCAGCGACTCGTGGTGTCTGTCCCGGGCTTCTCCACTGCATTGTGTTGTAGCCGTAGTTGTAGTTGTAGTTGAACTCGGTTTGGTGTCCGGGAGGAGCCAGAGGGATGTAGATTGGCATGATGAAAACGAGGTATAGATGTTAAGACTGGGAAGATGATGTGAGAAGATGCAGTATGCTTCGAATGTGTTGAGCTGTTGAGTGACCCCCAGATGGAGCTGTGCGCTGGGTGTTTTATAGTCCTTAGGAGTATCCTCAGGCACCAGGCACAGTGGAGCAATCATTCTGTATGAGCATCAATATACCATTCTATTCACTAATGTTCTTTGTGTTCCACGAAGCTTACCATTGAATAGAGAACAAGATCAATCAGAGTACGTCTTATAGAAATAGGTTGAATTTTAGATTCGCTCATCTTAATATCACATTGTAGACCTTAACAATGATATTTTTTTTGTGTAGAAAAGGATTGAATGTCTAGAACATAAGCTAGCATTGATATAACATTTCTTAACTTGGATTTGAGAATGCATAGTTCAAGTAGGATTTAGCGGTAATTGCATATATAGGTCAGATTCGACGACACCGCTACTCCCTGCAGCAAGATTGATGACCATCTTGCAGGATACAGGAAGTTTCTAAGAATCAGGTTTCCATCTCCAAGTGCCCAAGAATCTCACATGACTAAATACATTAAATTATGTGACAGTGTCTGATAATGTCCAATATCATATCCACAGGACTCCAAATTACATCATGCATCAGTCCAGCAACTATATGGAGGATATATGTCCAAAGATGGCTCCTGTAAGTTGATCAATACTCCCTGCTTTCACCAATGTCACAAACATCGAAGACTCCCTCTTCAGGAATTGAATGCTTCTTCAATGCTTCCTTCAATTTCGTCGCAGGTTCCAGGACGTCCTCCTCAGTAAGCACCCATGTGCCCCAATGCATGGCGGTTGCTCGTTTACACTTTGTGTCTCTGAATATTTCCACAGCATCATGAGGGTCTGCATGCATCGGGCTCATGATAAACCGTGGCGCGTAGGCTCCGATGGGAATCAAACCGAGGTCAAAAGGTCCTCTGAATTCGCCGACCTGCTTGAACGCGGGACACGAAGGGTAATTATACTCGGGAGCGTGATCGTCCACGCCATCCGGAAGTTCAGGTACCGCACGGTATCCAGTATCTCTGAGCACGATATACAATGTCAGCCTTGAAAAATATGGAGAGGTGTATCGGAAGCATTGACATACCCAGCGAAGTAAACCTTGCGACCTCCAGATTCGACGTACCATGACGACCACAATGTCTTCTCTCGATCAAGGAGTCCTCTGGCACTGGTATGCTGGCATGGTAGGCAGCCGATACGCGCTTTGATATCCGCAGGCTTGGACGCGAGATCGCCCGTTGCTTCTTCAACCGTAGTGTCTGGCTTTGAAGGCGAAAGGACGACATCCCGCTCTTCCCACCAGTCCATCTCAGTCATATTCTTAATTCCTGACCTAGAAAACCACTCTTTGTTACCCAGAGGCGCAAAGAAATGGCAATTTGGATGCAGTTTGGCGATCTCTTTCACTGTCGGGTGCGACAGATGGTCATAATGGTTGTGGGAAATAACAACTGCGTCGATGAAAGGGATGTCTTTGATCTGGCACGGCACCTCCGTGTATCGTTTCGGTCCAAGCCAGGAGAAAGGCGAGCAGCGGTCCTCAAAGACAGGATCGAACAGCACTCGCAGACCGTCGGGAAACTCGACATAGTAGCAGGCATGGCCCAGCCATGTCGCCCTCAGCTTCGACGTCTCCCGGTTGGGCAGAAATTCTGGTGTACGGACAGGAACAGTCGGAGGCGTAGTGTCAGGCCGGTTGGCTTTCCCAGTTACCTGGCGACTTTACAAGCAAGAAGAAATGGTCAGATCTGGTCGAAATAGAACTGTTCCGAGACCACTCACGAAAGGATATCATAGGCGATGGTTGCTTTGATCGGTTTCCATGAACTATGCAGGATGGTCAGTACTCAAGCACCGCTTACGGCATATTTTCTGACATTTAAGTCTTACTCCCATGGGTTCGTGAATCCGCCTTGAAGGTGATGGCTTTTTTTCTGCGCATCATCTGGCAAAGGTGAAGCGGCAGGCGTGGTGATAGTGATAGCATAGAGAATTGCCGCGGTGGATGAACTCATATTTCGCTTCATTGAGGGCGTTGAGGGATTGTGGCCCTGATGCTGGCGAAAGCCAAATAAGCGTCGTAAGAAAGAGCGCATTTGCTAGCAAGCCTGCTTATGCGCAATGCCGGGCACTCTATTTCTCTTTATCTATGCAAACCAGCCTGGGAACAGCTCAGCAAGCAGATGGTCACAGGGTCAACAGACGAATCAGAAATGAATTAGAAAACGAATCGAGCTTTGAGCCTATTATTACACGGAGGACGACTACGAGCTGCGCTGTCGGCTTTAGGCGGCGAGTTTGACTGCCAGCAATCCGAAGCAAAGACTTGCATGTCAGCCACTAATCCCGCTATCTCCGAGCCGAAGCCCTCCTTGGCGAGGCTCGTGGAGGCGGAGCTCATCATTCTCAAGGATTAGTTGCGTGTGAATAAGTCACGGCTAGAGGCTGAGCAGTATAATCTTTTCCCTTGAGTGCGGGTGCGTAGGCACGTCTGAGGTAATGCTGCCCAGATCTTTCTGTAAAGTGCCAAACAAGAGTACCTTATCCATCGATGGGTCTTCACAGGTAACTTTTCTCCAAACCAAACAAAACAAGCCCGGGGTAACGGGATTATCTCGGCCCGTCGTAGCTCCGATATCAGACGCCATGGACGTTTTTGAGATGCGCCGCCACAAAAAGTATCCGGTTCGCGATCATCACGCTCATCGCCGTAGACTGGGATGGAGAGAAATGGAGCTCCGGATACTGCCGGGTTGTCCTCGCCTGGTGACCTAATTCTGCAACAGAGGAAGGATGCGATCCAGGCGGCGGTTCAGCAACCCGGCGATGGCGGCCTTTTTTCTCAGCTCTCCAGTAACCCTTTCTTCACAGCGGTAAGATCTGCAGCCTTGGGATTGTGAATGCGATAAAAAGAGACTAGGGAAAACTGACGAGCAGGTCATGAGTACAGGGATTCGGTCTCGCTGGTCTTGGAGCGGGATTGAGCTTAGCCCAGAAAGGCGTTCGACATGGTGCCGCCCTCCTTCGGCGTCGTATGCTCGTGGATGTCGAAATCAGCATCAAGGACGATTCTTATCCATGGTTTCTCCACTGGATGACCCTCTATCAACAATCTCAACTTAATGCCGCTCGCTCCGCAGCCAGCAGGTCTGGCTTCATGGAAACTATCCTTCAGAAACTGACACCGGGAATGCGCCACCTGTCGATACAGACGCAAAAGGTCGAACATGCGAATGGCGCTATACATACACACTTCGCACTGGTTCCTGGACCGGGAAGGCACGTTTTGCGTTACAAGAATGCGTTCATTTTCGTCAATCGGATGCGTGAGTCCAAGTCGCAGGATTTACAAACGGGGCGGCCATGGGAGACGATCACATTAACAACACTCTACTCACATCGGCACATTTTCGAAGATCTATTCAAAGAGGCTCATGCATATGCGGCCAAGTCACACGAAGGCAAGACGTCTATCTACAACAGTTGGGGCACGGAATGGAGACTGTTCGGACAACCGCGGAGAAAGCGCCCATTGGACTCGGTGATTCTTGACGAAGGTGTCAAGGAGCGGATTGTGGAAGATGTGAAGGACTTTGTTTCTAGCGCAAAGTGGTACCATGACCGGGGGATTCCCTACAGACGCGGGTATTTGCTCTACGGGCCACCTGGGACGGGAAAGAGCTCGTTCATCCAGGCATTAGCGGGAGAATTGGACTATGACATTGCCATCTTGAACCTGAGTGAGCGGGGGCTGACTGACGATCGACTGAATCACCTGCTCACTATTGTGCCGAACCGGACCCTCGTCCTATTGGAGGATGTGGATGCTGCTTTCTCGAATCGGCGTCAAACTGATACGGATGGGTACCGCGGCGCCAATGTGACGTTTTCAGGCCTGCTAAATGCCTTGGATGGTGTTGCGAGCGCTGAGGAGCGTATTATTTTCCTCACAACAAATCATGTCGAGCGACTCGACGAAGCCTTGGTTCGGCCCGGTCGGGTTGACATGACCGTCCGCCTAGGCGAAATCACTCGCTACCAAGTCCGCTGTTTATGGGATAGGTTCTATGGTGACCTCGACACAACCGGATCTTATAGGCAAGCATTCCTGGACCGGCTACAGGAGTTAGGCCTCATAGAAGACGAGAAAGGCTTCAAAGCTGATCGGTCGAGAAGTACAAGTGCTGCTGCTCTGCAGGGCTTGTTTCTGTATAACAAGGGGAGTATGGAGGGGGCAATCGCAATGGCTGAGGCACTCACACATACAGTGCACGATTCGGCCGAGGGCGACCATTAGTATGTACATTATCATGACTTGTAAATATATTTGATAGACCTGTGAGCATGCATGTATCTGGACGGCGTCAATTCAAACCTTGCTTGTTTCTGCAGAAGTAATCTGAGAATTGAACTTGATGACGCTTGGGGTGCAGATTCACCAGCTAAGCACCCCGGATTGTAATCGACACTGAAGCTTCTAGTCTGCCACCCTCCCTGGGCTTGCACAGCCATCGTGATGACTAGTAATCAGGATTATTCTTGTCACTTGAATGGTTCTTCAGCGATCATTTACAAGGCAGCTAACCAATCACGACAATCAGCACACAGCTGACCGGGATAGCCTTTCTGAGTAGTCGAACTGCTTTCAATTCTCCATCCTCTTCAAGACCACGCGAGAACGAGACCAATAGGACAGCGGATCTTCGCATCTCACCGACATCGCCAAGCCGGTTTCCTTCTGTCGAAGCGCTGCGACAACAGTCACTCCAGGCACTCAGCCAATCACCCCGCCGGTGAGCTGACACTCTAACCGCCGACATCTCAACCACCAAGATATCCTGCAGGATAATTCAGTTCTTCACACTAGCCAGAGCCTCTCACATTTCAGACCCTTGACGCTTGCATGATGGATTTTATGGCGTTTACCCGACCTGGAAAGTCTGGAGCGAGGGGTATATGTCAATGTTGGTCCGCTCTTGTTCTCCCTGCAAGTCGGTTCAATGCCGTTTTCCATTCTGGTTTCGAGTCTTTCGAATTAGAGGATTGTCTGATATCATTTCTGCGCCGACATTGACGGTTTTGTATGTGTGCAGCGTGGAACAAGCATTCAAGAATCGATTCGCGTCTGCTGCTTCTGTTTCTATATCTGAGGCCTGCGGTTTATCCCTCTGACTTGACTGAGCCTCGATTTCGATTTTGCTCGGATTGAGAAATGAGTCAGTTTCAGTTATTTCCTCCACCTTCCCCTGTAGGTGGAGGCTCGAAGAATCCTTTTCGCAAAGGAATCAAGAAACCGGCTGCAAAGCCGCAGCCATCGAGTCCAATACCTTTGGAGGACCTCAAAGGCCCGCAGACAGAAGCAGTGCTTTTGCAGATTATAGAGGACACAAAGAAGGTTCAGCCACCTCCAAAGGCACATGTAGCCCGAGAATCACCACTGTCGATACCGGAAACAATACGCGAACCCGAGTCTGAGTCGCTGTATGATGCTACTCCGCGGATCGGGACCGCAGAAAGAGAACGCTCGCCAACACCGAAGACTAAGCCTTCATTACCACGAGTTCAGGTAGGCTCTCGTCAAAAGTCTCCGCAACCTTCTGAGCCTCCGGTGATTCCTATGAAATCGATATTCCCTCGTTACGATCCGAATTTCCCACTTAGCCAACAGCAGTACTACCCTCAATCCTCGGGCAGTATGCCTCGGCCTCTCCACAATCCTCGAGGGCTGACTCTGACGCCAGAGCCGGAAATTGACCGTGCGCTAGGGCCCAAGACGGTCCCTGCGAGCGTATTGAACTTTCCAACGGATATGCTAGAGCCGCTTGAGGTACATTACTCCTCTGCAGCGCAGCTGAAAGGTCTTTGGGAGGTTGCCAATGGACAAAGGCCGCATAATCTTATGGGAACATTTAATCTACGTATGCATCGGTGAGTGTTCTGCTAAAATGGTATCGGCTGAGCTGATGGGGCGCAGGACTGATCATGCAACATTCACGTTCGGAGACCCGCAGTCTCCATTCTATACGATGCATACCTTCTCCACGGATGAGTTGTCTATTGCCAGAGCCCACCCCATGAAACCAAACAGCAGTGTCTCCGTGATGATGCTGAAACTGGAGGACCGGAAGCGTCGGCTGCCGCCCAACGACGGACTGGTCACGCTGTTGTTCTCCCGACTGGCTGCAATGCTAGCCATCGGCGAAGCAGAGGAAGTAGCAAAGCAACATCACCTTTCATCAACCGAAGCAAGCGAAGTGGAAGGCAACGCCCTGAAGCGAGCAGCTGCACAAGAGTCCTGCAGACTTCTCTGGAATAACGAGAAGCGCCTGTACGAGCTCCAGCACCCATCGCACTGCAAACAGCAACCGCCCGCCCTCGTCGGCGCAGCTGGGTTCGGTGCAGCGGGTATTCCCCTTTCTCCAGTGAGGTCGAAGTACGCAGGGATCCTCCACATTTCAGTCTCGACTCCATCAAGCGACTCCAAATCCCGTCAGCCTCCAACGATCATCGTGACGACGCCTCTATCTCCCAACGCGTTGGAGGCCGCCACCCAGGCGGCCACACCACGCACCTCTACCCTCCCGTTGACCGACTCGGACGAGCCGCTGGCGTCACTGGACCTTGGCACAATGACTCTGTCAATTTCTGCGACGGCCATTATCAATACCATCCCGTCATTGTATGCCATCGACTCCCTGGTAGCAGCCATGCTGGCCGTGGCTGCTTCAGATGAGACGACCAATCCTGTCCTGGCGGACATGGCCTTGCACGACCCCAAGCAGGAATCGCATCACTTTTCTTCCCTCTCCAATCCCGCCAGCGGGGGTATGTTCGCAGGAAAATTAGTAGCAACGCTCGCAGAACGCGAAGACGCCGAGGAGAGCGACAGGCTGATGTCGAAGATCAAGTCGTCCAAGTTCAAGTCCGACACTCCCACCGACAGCAACGGCAGCGGCAAACGATCTTTCTGGTCATGGGGACGCTCAAAGCCTAAAAAACCACAGAGCAAAAACAAACAGATCATGGTCGAGCAGTTCGATCTGGAGAAGTACGGACGGTACGGGTCTAGTTCATCCAGGGAAGGACAGAAGCTGCCCGGTCCGACGAGGGGTATCCTCCGCCTTCTATTCTTTGGGTTGAATATGATTGTGAAGACGCTTACTGTGTTGGTGAAGATTGTGGCTTGGTTGTTAGTGAGCGTTACTCGGTGCGTGACGAGTGAGAAGTTTTAGTCCATCATAATTGATGCGTTGCTGTTGATACCCTAGGACCCTTGTGTTTCCCTACATATGGATTGATTATGCGCATGTTTTCAAGCTTTACAAGAATATTATTCTAACTTTGCTGATGTCAATGGATCGTCACTTACTTCATTCTCGACAAGTATCTATATATGGAGTAATTGCGATATGCATAGCAGATGGTGGTCTACATACCATGCGCTGCAACGCATCCAAGTTTCAACACCTGCCACAGCGAGCTATCGGACCATATCATTGCCACAAGTGTGCATGTTACACGTACATCCTAGCCGTATAAGTAATAGGACAGTACGTGGCAAAGGCAGAGGGCAGACATTCCACTCCACCCAGGAATGCAAATCATGCACCCATGCAACAGAACAGACTACACATCCATTCCATTCCACCGTACTAGATATGTATCAGAGAGGTATCATGAGCATTAAAAAGTATGTTAGAAAATTCTCTGTCTGAATAGAGTTATCAAGGGATGGGCTGCGTTTCGTGTCTACAGTACGTAGCCTTGTATACCCCAGGACGGATATATTAAGCCTTCCATGCGCGACCCTGCACCAGCTCTGCCTCTCTATCTTGGAACATCTGAATTAAGTGCATAGATCAAAGTTACGGAGCCAACATGGTTCACACCAAACAAACCACCCTCCTGGCCCTAACCGGCCTAGCTGCCACAGCTACAGCCTACAAGCATACATGGAGGGACCACATGAAGTGCGCAGTAAGCGTCTCTCGCCTTCATTCTTATCTTTCAGAATAAGCCAGCTTGTTAACATTCACCCTGTCAAGGCTGCTGTAGCCCAGGACGCAGATTACCCAACCTGCACCTCACCATCCAAGTTCTACTGCTTCTGCGCGCAGCCCTTCGATCCGAGCAAGATAAGCAGTGCAGCAAGGGACGTGTGCGATGGATTTGGAATCCGTATGTTCATTCATCTCTTTCCTTGCCTCGGTCTACGAATGGAAACTGACGCAACGAAGCAACGGAGAATATACACAGGTTCATCTGCGACCACGACGGCCATTGGGATGATGACGATGTGTATGATCATGACCCCGATCACTACACTAACTGCCATCATGCCTTCTCCTACGACTATGACGATGACGACGGCAATGATAGGGACAGATATGGATATCGCATCTCCCATCCGCACCGCCTCAGCCACCCCAACATGCGTGTTGCTGCTCCGGAGAGTGAGTCCACTTCCTCAAACACAGCTAAACACAGCCCCAACGTCCAGAGCAAGAGGGCGTACGTGCCAGGTCTGGCCCATTCCGCCTCCGCCTCGGCCTCTACCCACCGCCCCCTCGTCACCGACTTCCCGTCAACCCCTGACGAAGAGAACGACTACGAGGACGAGAACGAGCACGGAGTCAGGGTCATCACGGAGATCCTCACGCATACATCGTGCGACTGTTCGTCGTCGGCGGTAGCGGCTTCAACGGGCCGGGCGTCGAGTCAACCGGTGTATGTTCATCAGAGCGCGGTTCCTGTTTCATCTTCATCATTGGCGCACGCGCATGTTCATCAGACTGTGGTCCCTGTCTCGTCTTCTCCATCGGCGCACGCGCATGTTCATCAAGCTATGGCCCCCGTTCCTTCGTCATCGACGCATACGCGCGTTCACCCAACTGTGGTCCCTGCTCCCTCGTCATCGTTGGCGCACATGCCTGTTCATCAGGCTGTGGCCCCCATTTCTTCATCGACAGCACAAACGCATCTTCATCAGGCTATGGTCCCTGTTTCATCCTCGTCGTCATCGCACTTGCATGTTCACCACACAGCAATTCCTGTTGCATCTTCGTCAAGTCGACCGGCGCACCTTCACCAGGCCGTGGTACCTGTTGCATCTTCGTCGTCAGCGCACGCGCATGTTTACCAGACCGTGGTCCCCGTTTCTTCATCTCCGACGCACATGCACCTTCATGAGAGCGCGATTCCAGAGCCAACTTCGTCATCAGCACATGCGCATGTTCATCAGGCTGCGGTTACTGTTGCATCCTTGTCGAGTCAACCGGCGCACCTTCACCAGGCCGCGATTCCCGTTCCCTCATCGTCGGCATCGGCGTCGATTTCGCTGGCTAGATCGCATGAGTATGCGCAGGTCCTTGGACCAGAGTCCGTGTACGTCTCGGTACCTGTGTCAGTGCCTGCACCTACAGGCGTCGATGCGCAGCGGAGTGGGTATCCCAGTCATCACAAGGCGATGGATTCGTCTTTTGTGGTGGCTTCGGCGTCGCCTTCTCCCTCGCCGTCGGCAATGACGTTTGATGGGGCTGCGGCGGTTGGGGTGCTTGTGCCTAGTTCGGTGGTTGTGCTTGGGTTGACTGCGTTGATGGCGTTTTTTATGTGAGTCTGATCTTGTTTTATTAGGTTTGGTGTGTGTTCTGTTTGCGGGTTGGAAGTGGACAATGATACTCGATTAGATAGTACGTGACTTGATATACAATGAATTAAGTACAGAGACAAACTGCATCATTATTATTGTGTAGGACTAGGCAGACGGCTGGATCGCTTGCTGCACGCGAGGATATACCTGTACCATCCGATAATACAGATCCGGGTGATCGCGGATCATGACCTGCGGATCCCAGCCCATAGCCACGAAGATGGTTTCGATTCCGCTGCTGACGGGAGTCATGAAGATCTGACAGATCTGCAGGCCGATGACGAAGGCGAAGGCCATGATGACAGCCGTGAAGTTTCCATCGGCGTTGTAGCTCGGCTTAGTGAACTGCAGATACAGATACGCCAGCAGGGCGCAGACGTACGACACAAAGACCGAGCCCATGGTGATCACAGGCCCGATGAGACAGTCGTTGACGAGTGCGTCGATGCCGCGGTCTCGCATCATGGTCCACGTATCCTTGGCCGCCGGGATATATGCCTTCCCGTACAAGGCGATATGACAGAAAGCGTAGCGGTTGAACAGTGTGACAAGCCAGTCGAGGATGGCGATGAAACATCCAAGAATCCAAAACATGATGCTCCCCACAATACTCCCCTGGGCAGCCTCGTTGCGCTGCGCGACAGAGCACGCCTGCCGCAGCATGTTGATAATCGCGATGATCAAACTTCCGAAACTGATGCTGCCGAACGAGTATGTGGTTGCGCGCCTGAATGCGCCCCGTGTTGCTCCCTTTGGCATGCCGTTCGGTGACTGGCTCCAGAAGTACCAGGATCCGTAGACACCCGCAATGGTGGTATGAATCGTGTTCTTCAACCATTCGCTGAACCAATACATGGCGAACGTGACGTACACGACCAACCCGATGACACGGGCCCTGCTACATCCGCCGTCGCTGCAGGAAGGGTTAGTGCCGGAGCTGCTCGGCTCATATGCCACGTAGATCGAGACCAGGGTGACGGAAAACCACGCTGCGAATGCTACAGCCACGAGACCACCAATCATGCTCACGACAAACACATGGCCGTACTTCCGAGACACGTCAATGGACGTCTGCAGCATGAATGCGCTGAAAGGGATACGCGGGATCCAGCTGATGAAGCAGACGATCGCAAAGACGCCGAAGAGGAGGAACACGATGCCTCCGCCGTACTGTTTCCGCGCGATATAGTAAATGCCGGTCGCCAGCGCAAACACGATATTCAGGATGCCAGTAACCCAGATAAACAGTTTCGAGAAGTAGCGCGCCCCGAGAAAGTACGCGTACGAAAGCGCGAGCGCCACACAGAGAACGAAAATGAACAGGATAAGCGTATTCGTATCAAGAGAAAAGCTGTTGGACGAGTCGTAAATGCCGTCACCGTTGAAGCCTTTGTATTTGGCGTATCGATGGATGGTCACGCCAGAGACCGCGACATACCCCAGGAAGACGGCGATAAACTAGACGCCAGTCAATCAATGCCTCGTCAACTGAGCGTGCAGTCACTTACGAGTAGACCGGCCCAGATATCGTTGTACTTGGGTCGCTCGATCTTGAACGCGTCGTCAAACCCGTAGACGGCCTGATTGTACGTTGGTGGTGGCTCCGTGGGAGGCTTGGGCTCAGGTCCGCGTTGATAGTTGGGGTCGTATCCATTATTGTTCACGTTATTGTTGTAGTGATAGGGCTGTTGCTGTTGATTTTGAATCCCCGGCTGGGGATCGCCATACGACTGGCTGGGATTGTAGTAACTCGCAGCCTGTCCGCTCATGATGGCATACCTTTGAAGGAGGAACGAGCAGTGACTGAGGGGAGAGACGAAGAAAAACAGAGAGAAAGGAAAGAAGATCAATTCATGTGGCACAGTCACATGTAGCCAAGCCAAGTATGGAGGCAGCAAGGGACGATGGGTCCATGATGGGTTGACTCCTGAGAGTCGTTCCGCATGCGGTCATAGTAGAACTTAGTTGCTCAAGAAGATGGAGTTTAATCCACGATTGGTGCCTCTAGTGGATTCCCTTGCAAGATTCCCTTGCAAATATTCCCGGTTTGCTGTAACAGAGGGAATTAGCTAGGATCTGATGGATTCTCTCTTTTCAGTGCGCGTCATTGTGATGATGATGTCGATAGGGACGATCCGAACAAGCCAAGGCCCAAGAGCCCGAGATGTGGACATTTCCAGGATTCTCAGCCCTATAATTCAGGCCCACCTATCATTATTTCTTTCTGCCTGATTCACGACAAGTATAGAAGATGGAAGTATGTACTAGTAAACATGTGCTTTATTATTTAGGATATGCATAATTCTGTTAGGCTAGAAATAGACATTTAGGCAACTCTTGGTGCAGTAGTTATGAGCCTGGATTATTCAACGGCTATCAGGTTTTCGTTACACTGATACTCACTCTTAACAACGTAGTTAGGTCCCTGCTGTATCCCTGCTGCTTCCATCATTCCTTTGAAGTACCTGGGAGAAGACCAGAAAACTAGGAGAAAGCTAAGCCACAGGGGACATGGTCATGTTGCAACGACGCCAGTCACTAAGAACTCAGGTATTAGGGGTTGATTGGCTGTTGCTGCTCTGTGATTCGCCTGTCGCATCCGCCTTGCAGTGTCTTTACAGTATCAGGTAAGCCCAGCTAGTATATTTTGATACAAGTATATGACTAGGTAGAGCTATAGCCAATAAGGCTTAAAGATGTAGAATTTGTGTATTTAATGTAAATATAGCTAGGAAAGTATAGGATATTAGTATTAGACCAAAGGGTTTAGGTATATACTCTCAGAGCCTGGGGCAAGTTCCTGTGCATTTGTGGATAGTAATCCCTCTTCAAAGAGTAGAGATTCCAGATAGCTTATTGGCCTATTGATATCTTGATCTGCCGCGTACTTCTCCTCAGGTAATGTGATTCACCACAAGGCTGTGTGGCAGTGCTGGTGGCTTCCTCACAAGGCTGTGGCAGAGTCCAACTGTTCTTGAAATATCTACCATCTTTTGTCTCAAAAGCCTTTGGTCATTGACAAAAAACTTCCATAATGTCGACCAGCAGATCGGAAGTGCATGGAGTGCGCTCTGCGGTGGAATCGACGGAGTGTGCGGTTAATGATAATGATGGGATCAGGGGAGCAAGGTAACTAAGATCTGCAGCAGAAACCACCTCCCAGTTCCCCCTTGTTAAATTAATTCTCTGATCAGAAGTGATTTCGGTCACCATGACCCCGAGTTTCGATCGCGAGATGTCATTCGTAATGTGGATGAGTTTGCGACCAAATATGACCTGGGTGATATTCGGCCGATCCTCAGACAGGGCGCCCTCTTGCTTGACAATCCCGACAGTTACATGAAAAGAGAGGATTTGACGGAAGAGGACAGGGCGGCTTTGGCCAGCGAGCGCTTCTCGCAGTCCGGGCATGTTCTCTTTGCTAACTCGCGTTCGGATTATGCTCTCCATGTGGGGGCCTTTGCGCTGTAAGCAACGGATTGTTCCTCCCTGCAGTATCTACCTCTGATGTGTTCTGTACCAGCGGTTTCGCCGTGGCTGTTCTCATGCTCAAGAGTCGAATCAATCCCTACTTGGGGGTAACGCAATCTGTGCTGATCCTACTGCGCTCCTTCGCCTTGATGGTTGGGACTTGGCTCGCGCACCCTCTGGACACATCAGTCGGGCGCCGAGGAGCGGCTTGTATCGCGGCAGTGGTCATGATTACTGCTGGCCTAGGCAGAACACTGTTGCAAGAGCAACATGCCATTTATACAGTAGATACCATATACTTTGCTGGATGTGGAATCATTGAATGTGAGCTTCTACTGTACCTGGCGGAAACCAGTTTGCCGCCAAGCCGCGGTGCTGTTGTGTCACGGTGGCTGTCGTATGTTGCCCCTTCTCCTACTACCACTCTTTCTTGAGATATGAGCGATTGCTGATCGGCAACGAGGCTCCATGGAGTCGGGGCCGCTACAGGGTCAGTAACTGCAGTTGTCGTCTCCAACGTTGCAGATGTGTCCAGCAGCATAACCGGCCTGTTAGTTGCCATCCCTGGGGCAACATGTCTTCTCTGCTTTTGGACCTTGCCGGAATCGCCACGCCTCTGCATCGCCCAGGAAGACATGCGGTCTGCTTATGAGACAATGTGTCGGTTGACAAAGGTGAAGGTGCAAGCTGCTCGCGACATCTATCAGATATATATCTCAGCCGAAACCGGCCATCACAACCTCAGACTCCGAGACTTTCTGACTGTACCTTCTCTCAGGCGCGCAGCGCTCTCTTCTGCCGGTGTCGCGCTCGCCGTCACTTTATTATCAATTGGAGTGGAGACGCCCCAGCCAGGGGTGCTGAGCAACATTCTGACGTGCGCAGCCGAAAGTGGTCCTCTCAAGGTGATTCTGATGTTATTGGCTGCCATCTTCCTAATCAGGATGTACTGGATCTTGAATAGGAGTTCCTCGCTCAAGCGTCGGAGATTGCAACTGCTTGTCCAGCTGGCCATGGTGGCCTTTCTCATTCTCAGCCAGCCTGTGTGCGAACAGCGCTGGTGGATTGCTATTAGGTGTGCTGCTAGCTACATGCTAGAAGGTCTCATTGGTATATCTCGAATCATAGCCGCGACATATGCAGCGGAGCTATTCCCTCTTCGCTATCGCAGTACGTACGGCACTGTGTCTTTCCGGACAGTTCATAACAGCTAATTAAGAAACTCCAGCATTGGGAATGGCGCTCGGATCTTCTGTCGCGTTTTCAAGTAATGCGATCCTGCTACTCATCGATCTTTATCTCCCGTTTAGCAGTGTATTTGTTGAAATATCCTACCCTTTTGTCGCATTTGTTTTGTAAGTGGACTCAAACTTACTTCTGGTCAATATCTCCACATCTTTGGCTTTGCTAATTTGCTAGCCAAGGTGTGTTCATGTTTCCGCGCTCATAGCCGTCTACTTTCTGATGGTGGATACGCATGGTCAGACATTGGAGGAGATCAGTGCGGGATTTGAGACGCCCATGCGAAAAATATGGGCGTACCGGATGCGATTAGAGCTGCCACACATTCTCAAGAGATCTCTGTTTTGGAAAAGAGCTCAACTACAGCCTTTCGAGGAGTCCAGATATAATACTGGTGGGATTGCTTTGTCTACTACCGGACACTCCGACTTTCCATGATGGGACTTGAGAGCGCCACATGGGCCCCTTGTGTTAGAGGATAACGCAGTACTTCCTATCAATTATCACAGCAGATTCAACTAGATAGCCTCTTAATTTTTAACACTCTAGCCACTCTCTTCCTTCCCCGATAGGCCAGGGAATCCCACGCAGGGCCAGCGCCCATTTGATCTGTTTCTCCAGCGCCGGAAACCCAAGCTCACAGTTCGCACCGTGGTCGATGAGCAAATACATGACGTCCTTTTTGTTCAACTTCGCTGCCAGTGCTAGAGGCGACAGGTTGTCATTGTTTTTAGTATCCAGGGCTGCCCCTAATTGTATCAGTCGCTCCAGAAGCTGCAACTCGCACCGCCGAGAGGCAACAGCATGGTGCAAAGCTGTCCACCCCAATTGATCATGCGCATTTGGATTTGCCCTGAACTCTAAAAGAATACTCGCTTTCTCCCACTGGTTAAGGCTCAAGGCGTAAAGAAGGGGCGTTAACCCGTCCTTATCCTTGAGTTCCGTCAAGTCTCCGGCTTCTAAGAGCAACTTGACAGCTGTTGCCGTTCCAAATCTGGCAACTGCCAAGTGCAGCGCTGTATTCCCGTCCACGTCCCTGGCGTTGATGTCTAGCTCCCCTTCTCGCCCACGGAGCAACCTATACTTTGCCTCAAACAGCTCAAAGTCGCCCTCGTACGTGATGAGGTGTAGGGCGGTCTCGCGATGCGGCTGTGTGCGCACAGTCAGGTCACTGCCGTAACTGAGGAGGATCTGCAACCTGTCCGGGGAGCCTTGTTTTGCGGCGAGGTGCAGGGCTGTGTATCCATTCAGAGGCTTGTCAGTTTTGGCGCCAGCGTCGAGGAGAGGGCGGAGTCTGTCGATTGGGCCGTGAGCGGATTTGAGAATGTGCCACAATTCCAAGGAATAGAGTTCCTAGTTGGGAATTTTAAGACGTATCCGTGAGAGAAGTGCGGTTTTGGAGTGACGTACCATATCCTCTTGCGGTTGTATTGGTGGCGTGTAATGCGAACTGGCCCAACGGGGCACCGTGCTAGCGGGTGAATCTATTGAAAATCCTCCAAGTAGCCCAAGAGCCTCACCTTCCGCATTTTGTGGAGGTTCATCGGCACCATCAATTGGCTCTTCAGCATTGTTAATTGTCCAATCTGACAGGGCATCCAAAGTGGCCTTGCGGCGGTTCTCCGGCAAAGGTGCCATGAGGCTGATAATAAACTGTCGTCCGGAAGCGCCCACACCCCTTTCAATCAGCGTGTCTTCAGGAAAGGCGGAACCTCTCAGGTAATTCTCCAGGGACTGGGGCGACGGGAACGGTTCGTCCTTGGTAAGAGCATAGTAGAGTACGCATCCCAGGGACCAGATGTCCACCGCGCTGGTGTATAGCGAATCCCGTTTGCTGGAGTCGAACAAGCTTAGGATTTCCGGCGCCCTGTAGCCATCAGTCCCTACTCTTGTCTTGAGATTGGTCTGCTTCGTAGATATTCTCTTGCTGATGCCAAAGTCGGCTATCTTTACTCTCAGGGGGTCCTTCTGTACAACGAGGATATTCTAGCGCGCTATGGATCAGCTAGAGAATGGAAGGGGAATACTCGAGTAATATACCTGTGGCTTGATATCCCTGTGCGTGATGCCCATTCCATGCAATATTTGAAGTCCTTCTAGAAGCTGGCTACAGAGAGTCCATGCCTTTTCTTCAGAGAGTGGACCTGGGAAGCATCTGGAAACATCTCCGTATCGGCAGTACTCCATCACTAAACCGATGTAATCTTTCCCGGGATACCAGCCCAGAAATTCAACGAATAATTCCTTGCCTTGTTTTCTTGCATAGAAATCAGTATATGTCCGCTTCATAATGGGATGGGATCCTCCTACTTGGTGGCCTTGGTCACCATGCCCATTATCTTGACTTCCGACATCCAGTCGGACCAGTCCCCCTGCATGATCTTTTTCACCACTCGAAGCTCCTGAGTCTTGACGTTCTTATCAAGGAAGACGTGAAAATCCTTTACTAGATACTCCTGGCGAGCCCACAAGGAGATATTCTCCTCAGCTTGACCACTGCCGTCCCTAGCTTCCCTGGACTCGGTTTGCCGCCGTCGACCACCGACAAAGGTTATGTCCAGTTTAAAGCTCTGTACCAACTCGTCATCGGCCATTTTTTGTTCTCAATTATACTGTGTATTCGACGTAGTGTCTGCCTGGGAGAGCGCAACTTTGTCCTAAATTGCTATGATTTAGGAGATGAAGAATTGCTGTTCATGATTCTGTATGTCAGCTGACGCGCATCGTAGCCTTATTTGTCATTTCACAGCCCCCGCTAACAACTTCACCTTTCCCATCCTCTACTATCCTTTTTTTTGGGTGCGTAGTATCTGCCAGACATCGTCAGCGTCATGGAAGTTGCGAGCCTGGTATTGGCTGTGGCGGGAACACTGGATCTATGTTTGAAGTAAGTGCAGGCTTCTTCCTACAGGCTACCGCTCATTGGGTCTTGATGTCTATAGATATGGGAATAGCCTCGTGATGCTTTGCCGCGAACAGCGAAACCTCGAGTCAGATCTCGAAGAGATTTCCCTTACGTTCGAAGGCCTATGGATCAAGACGGAAATTCAATTACAATCTGTCAAGGCTCTATGGACCACTCTACCGCCTGCACTTCAAGCTCACTATAGTGACGTACTATCTCACCTGCAGATAAAGATCACGGGTGCGTTCAAGACCTACGAACGGGTTACAGCTTTTGTGAATGCAGCATACCGAATTCAACGCCGAGTCCGAGCTGTGTACCTCAAAAGACATCTGCAGCAAATTGTGCTGGATCTGGAAGAGTGGCAGAAGCGATTTGATCCGTCGTGGTACTTGATTACACGTATTGCAAACCCACTAGTCGATCAGCAGCTGGGAAGCTCCGTCTCAAGTCGGGATCCATCAATGCGTCGGCTGAAAATGATGAGAAAGGCTATACAAGCATGTCATTCTGGCCATGATATAGAGCAAGGCTCAGTATTCAAGAATGCTGGCGTTATCGCTGATAGTATGTCCCAAATCTCGGGAACTAATACGTACCTTTCAAACTATCGCCACAACTCGCGGCCAGTACTCCTTGATCGCATATGCTACAAAGCAGGCGCAGTCGGTATTGATGGGCGAAAGAACGTCCGTGACCTCGCAAGGCTGCTCCTCCACGTTGAGCCGGACACATTCAGCCTTCTCAAGTGCAGTGGGGTAGTTGAATTGGGAGAGGAAGGCAACACTCAGTTCCAATACATCTTCGAAATTCCGGAGGGACTATCCACCCCTAAAACACTCCGCTCTCTCTTGCGAGAAATGATTCGATGCTCATTAAGCCAGCGCTTCCAGCTCGCCAAGCATCTCGCGCGATCCGTCATGTTTCTCCATGCGACAGGGTTCGTGCACAAGAATATCAGACCTGAGACCATGATTGTTTTCGCAAATACCTCTGGGTCAATGTGCCAGTCATTTCTTATTGGCTTCGAAAGCATACGTAAGGAAGGGGGCTCGACAGAACGGATTGGGGACCTGGAATGGGAGAGAAATCTCTACCGGCACCCGATGCGACAGGGTCTTTTCCCCGAAGATGTGTTCACAATGGAACACGACATTTACAGTCTTGGGGTCTGCCTGCTCGAGGTGGGAATGTGGTCCTCGTTTGTTCTAAACGAGGGCGATGCTGTAACTCCTTGTGGAGAGCTAGAGATATCGAACGCTTTGGCTGACAATGATCCGCGCCGCAGAGGCTTTGCCGTCAAGGATAGGCTTGTCCAACTGTCCAAAGAGCGTCTGCCAAGTCTAGTTGGAGACAGGTATAGCGAAATAGTGAGAGCGTGTCTGTGCTGTCTTGATAGAACCGAGGAGAACTCGTTTCAACCTTCTGAGCTGAGAGACGATGACGGGATTATTGTTGGTGTTCGGTACATAGAAAATGTAAGCCTCTGCCTGGTGGATGGAACCCGACTGACCGTCATAGATACTCTCGAAGATAGAAGAGCTTTGCGTTTAAATGGGCATATCATGGAGGGGCATCTTGGTATTTTATCGTTTGGGGAGAGCTAGCATCTGTTCACATTATCATAGCTCTATAGACCGTCATTTTTCATCCAGGAGGGGGTTTGTGTTTCCTACTGTCGTTGTTTTTTTGAGAGTGATGTTTTCATGAGTCCATGAACGTCTTTTGGCACCATCTGAGGGGACATGATGCTTTTTGGGGAAAGCTATGGTCTCAGGATGTCTAGATCCAGAGTGGTAAAGGTAATGACGACGTTATGTATTCAGCCTCGACTTTCTGCCTAGACAATGGAAGGTAGAAACGCAGACTGAGGACCGTGTTGATTCCTCGGCGAATCCCTTCCCTGTCCAGTAGCCAGCAGGGAGCTGCTTAACTATAGATGAGGCATCCATATAGGGATTCTGATGTTCGTGACCAATGATTTCTGGAGAGGTCCCTGATCGTTTGTCTCCCAGTACGTTCTGTAGGCGAAATAATGAACTTCAGCGTGGCCTAAAAAGACACCCTGATCGTACGCCCTTACCACCCTTCCGCCAATGGAAACTACCGCAATGCGTGATGACACGAGGCTTATACAAGGATGGTAGCTGGATTATAAATGAGCTGAACCGCTCCTTTTCAAGTAAAGTCTAGATATGTACCTCCAAGCTTCCTGAATGCTTCCATTAACGGCCACACCTCGCTCGGCCCTTGGGCGCCTCTATTCCTTTCTGGATAACCCTACCTATTAGATGTCACCATAGTCCTAGGGAGAATACACCCAATCAAAATTAAAATAGTAATATTCAATCCCTTCAACCTTCCTGGCCAGGCCGAATCTCAACCCACCTGCGCTATAATCTGGCCCCGTCAGCCGGTCAGCCCTAAAGAACCTCGTTTCCCGCCGACGGCCGACGCTTTATGCCCCGAACAAACGCAATGGACCCGAGTCGGACCACGACTACAAATATGCAGAATATGCAATGGCAAAGGGTCCAAGTGGAACTGAATTTGGTAGATTGTCAAGTAAGCAAAAGATGGATTCCGCCCAACCTACCAAATTGGACTTTTTGGCTGTGCCGGCCACCCCGTTTAGTATTGGGGTTTTGGCCTCGGTACTGGTGTTGGTGGCTGTTTTGATCGGACCAAAAGTGGTGATTGATACGATTCTTAATGTGAGTTTACTGTCTTCTTTTGTTTTTTTTACTTAAAGTGCGGTTTCTGATTCCTGACGTAGGGCTACTTGTCTCTCGTTCATCGGATTCCAGCCGCAAATGGAAAGAAGTACATGTCGGGTCCGGCGTACACATTCCCCAATGGGCAGATGGTAGACAAATTCCTGGCTGCGCGGAAGAGAAGCTGGGAGTGGGAGGAGAAATATGGCAAGACGTATCGCATTTGGGCTGCTAGTATCCCCGAGGTGTACGCATACCGCTTTCTATTTCTCAACATGACCGCAGATATAGATATGCTAACACGGGTGGTATACGCATAGTGTGATAACCGACCCCAAAGACGTCGAGGCGCTATACCAGCAGTCGACCGACCATAACAAGGCGCCCCAGGCGAATGCCGGCTGGCTTCTGACGCAGCTGCTTGGGTCCGGCCTGGGGCTGATTAACGGGACTCGCTGGACGACTTTACGAAAGACTTTGGACCCGATGTTCTCGCACCGGACTGCCTTGCGGTATTTCCGTGATAGCCTGGACGCTGGTGCTCAGGACTATGTTGCGGGGATACATCGGTTTGCAAAAGCGGATGGGCAGATGCAGAACGCAGACGGCAAGGGGATGGTCATCAACGCCACGCAGGCACTGCAACGTTATCCCTTTTTCGAGGTCGCGTCCATGTTCTATGGGAAGATGAGTGAGGGAGAGCAGGAGCGCCTGTGGGATCTTGGACGCCGGTACTCGGAGGTTTTCGCGGCGGTTGTGTCTGGAGGCATTCATCGCTCTAAGCTGACTAGGTATCTCAATACCAAGGCTTGGAACAATGCGAGAGACTACCAGAAAGCGTGGCTGGATTTCAATAGGGAGATATACGCAGCGAGGAAGATCACAGCCCCTGATACGCCAATTGTGGTTCTCACAGAGGCAGCTGAAAGGGGCGAACTGACGCCAAAGGAGGTAGGTGGTTGGCTCCATGACTGGAATGATATGGAGATCCCTTTAACAATATATCTAGGTGACTGACACGATTGCGGAATCCACTTTCGCTAACCTGGATATCGTCACTCATGTTATCTCGTCATGCATTATTCTTCTAGCCGATTCCCCCGAGGTCCAAAATGACCTTGTTCAGGAGATGGAGAAAAATAAGGCAGATCGAGAAGATTATATCACTCGAAAGGACACTCTTCTCCATTACTGCTTGTTGGAATCGCTTCGCCTTCGCCCTGTTCTAAGTAAGTCTCGGTCACTACAAGTAAGCTCAAGGTTTGAAAGAATATCGGCTGACCGAGTCAAAGCATTCACCTTCCCTGAGAATCCACCAAGGGAGAAGATCCTGGGAAACTTTGTGATCCCTAAAGATACGACCGTTATTGTGGATGCTTTCGCCATTAACATACGCAATCCTTTTTGGGGCCCTGACAACCGTGCATATCGGCCCAGCCGGTTTGCGGGTATCAAACAAAGTCAGGTGAGAATCTCGAATTGCCCTAAGGAGACTATTTGAAAGCTCATTGGACTTATAGCTCCGGTATAATCTCGCCACTTTTGGCTACGGGCCGAGAAAGTGTCTCGGACAGCATATTGCCGATAAGATCATCAAGGCTGTGGTCTATCACATGTTCAGCAAGTATAGAGTTTCCCTTCAACCGATGCAAGCTGTCGAAGGAGACTTCAAGGTTGACAAAACCAGCTGGGTCTCATTGTATGATGTTGATTTGAAACTGGAGCCAAGGGAATCCTGAGACTTGAAACATGTTATGTATGAACAAGTAAACATATACCTGCAATAGATTGACGCCTGATAGCTGCAAAGGACTCTCGTTAGCATATCACACCAAGAGCCAGCTTCTACTGTCAAATCCCCTGTAGTGAGCTTTTCTCTTTTAGGAAATGGTCTGATGAAGAATGGCGGTTTATTAGAAATACGGCTCCCGACGTATGTTGGGGCCGTCGGCGGGTAAACAGCGTAAGCACAAGCACCGCGCCGAAGCCAACTAAGCCGAAGCTAGTAACAGCATTCATTTATCAGATGGCGAATACAGATCAGAATGGGCCTACACCTCCCCATTGTAGATTTTGTCGGTGTAACAATGGCGGGTAATCTCAAATCAGATCTGTTGAATTGCCTTTCCGGCTCCAATGTGATCGTTGACGGCGACGAGGCATGGTCGGATGCAATCAAGCGTTGGACAGGGTATCTGGCCAAGTTTCCTGCGGCAGTCGTTCAAGTTACTAGCGAGGAAGACGTCATTGCAACGGTAAGCGTTCCCCGTCCCCTTCTGAATCTGTCTAGACTGACATGTGTTCTCAGGTTTCCTATGCGGTGCAGAACCAGAGGCCTTTCGTGGTTCGAGGAGGAGGCCACAGCAATGGCTTCTCAACCATCGACAGTCCTGGGATTATCATCGATCTCTCGCGGATGAGAAAGGTTGCTGTTGACGTGGAGAGACAGGTTGTTGTTGCACAAGGAGGCGCTACTATGGGCGACGGGGTGAAGGCAGCTAGTTCAGTAGGAATGGCTGTCGCTACCGGAACATGTAACGAAGTGGGCCTGGTAAGGGAAATGACTCCTCCTATTCAGCCAAGCAACCTAATATGAGGAACAGATCGGTGCTGCCCTTGGAGGAGGGATAGGGCGCTTTCTTGGGCACTTTGGATACGCTGCAGACACCGTGCTCTCGATGCGGGTCGTTGTGGTGGACCAGAGCGGAGTAGCTCGCGCGGTCGAGGCGTCGCCCGAAGTCAACTCAGATCTCTTCTGGGGTCTTCGTGGTAGCGGTCATTTGTTCGGGGTGGTGGTTGAGGCTACATTCCGAGCCTACCCGTGGACCCATGACACATGGCACAGCTGTCTGGTCTTTGCGCCTAATGATGCAGGATTGGTTACAGAGGCAGTGAACAAGGTCCATTATCAGGGAGGTATGCAGGGGCGGCTGGTATTCTGTGCCCCAAACAAGCAGGTAAGTCTGTCAAGAAAACTTTACTGGAATCCACTGGCTGACTTTGAGAATCAGCCTATTGTTCTTCTCCAAATGTGGTATATGGGATCACACGAAGAGGCTGCCAGCAAATTCCAGCCTTTACTGGATCTCCCATCTATGACAGATCATCCTTTGAACTTTGTTGGCCGCCGTATTCCGTACCCTAACCTCAATGATTCCAGCGACCGTATATGCGGCTATGGCGGGAGAAAGAACCTGGCAGCGTTTGGCTTGAAAGACTTGTCAGCGGGATCCTGCATGGCCGCCCTCAACGTCTACATGGACTTCATTACTCAACACCCCGAGGCTGCCCAGACGCACATCCTGACCGAATTTTACAGCATGGACGTTGCGCGGGAGCTGGACCAGGATGGACAAGAGACCTCTATCCCTGGTGAGTTCCGGCGAGAAGTGAAGTATTGGGTCATGCCTCTGGCCTGGTATGACGACCCTGCACTGGATAATGCATGTGTTGGGCTCAACAAGGCCATTCGAGAGGCATTCTTAACACAGCCAGACGGAACACGCGCAACAGGGGTGGGCTATGTCAACATGCCCTTTGAAGACGATACCGCCACTAGCGTTTTTGGCGAGGGTGAGCGGCTGGAGAGACTCCGGAAACTCAAGCTAACATGGGATCCGCTTGGTGTGGTGCAAGGAATTGTAAAACTCTGAGGATCTATCTGACTTGGCTGGGAGTGGATATGTAGGTTACTAGGTACCTTAGTGGTAGGGAGAAATGGAATCGGGGATAGTGGCATGACGCTGGTGCCTCAGGCTAGTATTATTTCCTGCTTAAGGCATAAACCGATAATGGGTCACAGAAAGCAGATCAAGTGGGTCACCCCGCTACGACCATAAAATTAAAACATCATCATTCACTTCGCAAAGTAATTCGCATACTTCACAATTATCTTCCAGCAATCTAGTCTATAAATATTTTAGATACTCTGTAAATGGCGTCCTCCAGAGGCAGCCGTCATTAGTAAGCAGGGACCTACTAGCCCCAAGCGGTTAGACATTCTGCCCCCAGCCGTATTGCTTCCGTATAGTTTACCTCGTCACCTTGCTTGTCACTTTGTCACCTTCCATTGTCACCTTCCTTGTCACCTTCCTGGAACACATCCATCATTCCAAGGCTGTCACCCCGTCTGGTAGTTGACTGATGGACTCGACAACTTCAACCTCACGGCTCTCGGTTAGCAGTCCTCAGTCGGGCCCTTCTGGCGGCATACAGAAGGGCCGGCAGCGCACCATCACCGCGTGCCTGACATGCCGCCGTCGGAAGGTCAAGTGCGATCATACACAACCTGTCTGTACTCCATGCCAGAGAGGCAATCGTGTTTGTACGTATGTTAGTCCACAGCCAGTCTCGCAGGCAACCCCCCGTGTGGTGACTGGCAATCGAGTGTCACGGACCAACCTCCGGTCTGGCCAAGAGGAAATCCGTAGTCGCCTCGAAAGGCTGGAACAACTACTGGAGCGAGCAATTTCTGGTGGGGGTAACATCTCGAAATCGCCTGATGCGAAAGTAACTAGCACAGGAAGCCCCTCTGACGTTGACCAGGGAGGAAGTGCATTGCCAATCCCGAGATGCGAAACTTTGTCAGCTGATGGTTATGATGGTGCCTTACTCCTGGAGGCCGAAGGAGGCCAATCCCGCTGGGTTTCGTCTCTGCACTATGCTCTCTTAGCTGACGAGGTACAATCTCCCTGCCGATGTGATCTCATGTATGCAGCGCTGATAATACCAGATTCACGATGTCAAAATGCTGCTGGGAGATCAGTCTAGTGGTGCGCCAGCAGATAGTCCACCGTCAGACCAGCCAACTCCTCCATTCCCATTTTCTGGCTCGACCGTGGATAGCCTTACGCCTTGGTCTCCCAAATCGGCAGAAGATTGCTTGGCATTGCTTGAAATATTCTATTCCAATGTTGATCCGATGACGAGACTAGTCCACAAACCTACGCTGCAACGACGATTCACCCAATATATTAACCATACATACGGCACGAGGACTCAAAGTCCCGGTGTAGAGGAGGCCGATGCATCCAGAGCTGACCACACCATCCATACCTTCGAGCCTTTGGCGCTGGCTATATTCTACTCAGCTATCAACAGTTTGTCGGCTGAAAATGTTATGATGCGATTTGCTGCGGAGAAAGAGGCCCTCCTGGCTCAGTTCCAAAGAGGGGTGGAGCTTGGGTTAGGACGAGAAGATTTTCTAACAACCCCAAGTATTGAGGTTCTACAGGCATTTGTACTACTTCTGGTACGACGGCGTCCCTATTTCCACTGATTCATGTATGTTTATTGTACTGACCAACCCCGCTAGACTTGCCAATCCCGGGAAGACGACATGTCGAGGACGTGGACTCTTCTTGGCCTTGTTGTCAGAATGGCTCTCTCGCAAGGTCTTCATAGAGAACCCTCCTTATTCCCGTCAAGTAATATGGATGTTGTCCAGGTGGAGACTCGTCGCAGGCTGTGGCATCAGATATGTCATCTCGACTTCCGTTCCGCCGAGGGTAGGGGTCAGGAGCCCACAATAGCAGACGAGGACTACACTACGCTGCTACCACGAAACATCAACGATGAAGATCTCATTGAAGGAGCGCATCCAACTGCGGAAACATATTCACCTCCTGGTTTCACCGACATGACAGGCCATTTGATTCGCCTGAATGGCATCCACTGCTTCAGAAGAATTGTTCGGAGTACTTATAGGCTGGAGCGGAGAATCAAGGCTTCGGTTGTCAACGGAAATGGTAACCTATATCCCATCGCAGAGCTTCAGTCTTTGTTTGTGGAGGTTCGAACCATGGTGGATGAAATGGTCAATCATCTCCAAACTCAATATCTGCAATACTGTGATCCCCAGGTTCCGCACCAGCGCATGGCCCTTGGTCTTGCCGCGGTAATTGAATGGCGATGCTGGTCTATTTTCTGGCTGCGAACCCCAAAACAATACCGGGAGGCCGTGGTGTCCCCTGAAATCCGACAAACGTACGTTTTGGTGCTGTCTTTGACGATAACACCTTTTCGCCCTCTTGATCCAGAAGCTAATGAATGTGTTTAGAGTATTGGCAAAGTCAGTCAGCCTCGTAGAGAGCCTGAACATGATGTCGGATGACAAAGATGCCCAGAAGTTCCAATGGCATATAGGTGGTCACGCCTGTTTCCAATCCATTATGCACATTGTATCGGAGCTTGAAACACCAGAATTCCAAGCGCCAAACCACCGTTCGCTCCGATCTCGCGCATTGGGCGTCTTGAAAAGGACGATGGACACGAGAGGGCGTGAAGTCACGCCGATGTGGAATGTGATCAATCGTATCATCTCGAACTGTCTTGCCAAAAATGCGCCGTCTACCTTCCCTTTGTCACCATTCCAGGCTATATTTCCTCCGAATGCAGCGATCCCCGGAATGGGCTCCTCAACGACTGTCCCGCCCCAGACAATTGCACAAAATTCATCAGTATCGGGAGAATCTGCAATGGCAACCCCGTTGCCCGATCTGGCGGAGGTAGGAAGTCTGGACATGCAGGATCCCACCTTGGCGTTTGACTGGGTAAGTGAACCTTAAACCTTGATGAGACACTCTCCGCTGATGTTTTGGTTAGGGATTTTGGAACTTTGACCCCACAGATCCTGGCTCCTATTGAGAATTACATTTTTTGTGGGGCTATACGCGTTTTCTACACGTCTACCTCATGCTCTGTGTAAGGTTGGCACTTGTCATAAAGGCTTATGCTCTGG